CCATCCCACTTTGGATGGAGCAGCTCTCATTTCTAGAAATATGGACAAATTTATTAAACCCCTGTCAAAGGAATATTGTTTTTATATAATGTGATCAGCTTCATGAAATGTATTCTTTTATTGATCACTAAGCAAATGTCTACGTGACTTTTGACATGTACTTTTGTGTGATAAACAACTAATAGCTTCCTCTTTCTGTAAGAACATACAGAATTAGAAAAAGGGGAACCTCAGCTCAGAGTTCTTATAATAAGAAGCTATTTACACACACACACACACACAGACAAGTATAACTAAAGAACGCAGACAGTGATGAGACGCAGGTCGCAGATTGTGCGTTTATGACTGCCCTCGAGTAAAGACAACTGCAGTGTTTATGTTTTCTAACTCAGGTGTCTTAGCTGAAGAACTACAGGGTGATTTAAAGAAATCCCCTGTCATTTAAATTGGTCCTTCGAGCTTAGCGATGGAAACAACAGACACGTTTCTGTGACTCCAATCCAAAGTCTGACTGCTGTATCCTGACGTGGTGGGAAGCCAGCACCGAAGTCTGTCTCTCTAGGTAGAGGTGAAAGACCTGGGACGTTAATTCAGGTCCAGGCCGGTGAACTTGTCTGGTCCACGGCGTTGGGATCCAGCCAAGACAACTTGAACAACCAGCAAAAGACGACTGAGGGTGAGAAAACACTGTTTGGGTCTAATCCGCTGCAAGGATTTGAAATAAATGCATGAAATAAGGTTTAAGTTCGCCACAAGAAACTGTGTTTAGAGTGGTTTTAGAAGTGGCCGTGAAATACTTCGTGACAAATTCGCATGCAAATGTCTATCTGTGTGTATGTATATGTGTTTTGGAAGTAAGTTGATTTTACAGCACAATACGCTGCTGAACTACTTCCATTGTTTTTATTGTTTTCTTTGTGTTCCTGCAAAAGCCCACGTACTGGTGACAAAGGGGAAAGGTTGAGCTCCGTCTCATAAAACTGACACCACTCCGTGAATAGCGCGGAGTAGAAAGGCATGTCAGCCACCACCCCCGAGTCTAGTACCGGAGAAGGCTCTGCAGTTCTGTGATAATGGGGAATCAGCCCACAAAACTCACTGCTGTCGAGCAGTGGCTAATAAAGAAATGTCCAGGCGCCGGACAAATCAGTGCTTGTAGATGGAGAAATCCTAAGAAAACAAAATGTCCCATTTGGGAAGGAATGCAGCCCCTCAGCATTAACACAACTGAAGGAGGCTCTTTAAAAGAAGCAGTTAGGCGTGACGACAACAAAAAGAAAATACAAGAAGAACAAACGAAAATAAACGAATGGCAAAATTACATTAGAACTTATCTTTAATGTATTGAAACTAATAATAGCAAGGATAACAACCTGTATACTGGTATTAACAATGAAACATAGTTGGAATGATGACCATGTACAGAATGTATAGAATGAATGAAAGCAAATAATTCACACGAAAACCTATTAAATAAAATAGAGAGATGCATAAGGTACATTAAGGCTGCGTCATTGTTCAGCCAAGGAAAGTGTGTGAAAAGGTAAATGTCTCCAGCTTGGGAAATGGTGAAACTGCAGATCACCCGAAGCCCTTGATGGATACAAAATAAAATATAAATAATATATTATAATAAATTGCTTGGTTCGCCATGCAACAGAGAGAACGAATGTGACCGAAGGTTGGATCTGAGATGAGGCAAACAGAAGACCAGTCTAAAAAAGTAGGCACAAACCTGTTCAGAGAAAAAGCAAATCTGTGCAGATTGGATGAATTATAAATTATCTGTTTGCTGAGTAAGATGATCCTAACTAT